TTGTTCTTACATATGCGTACAGTATTGAAATATGTATCAGAGACATTGTAGACAATACTTTTTTAAAAAAAGAGTAACGAATGGAGTTTCTTGCTCGTTCTTCTCCATTCGAATCTACTTTTTGGAATGAGCACCTAGCTTCACCTAGTTTCACTGACGGACTGACTGACAGACTATTATTTATTTTGTATTTGTTTCAAAAGCACCAAACTATGGTTTAATTGAAATAAATGCTTTGACTTTGACTTTGACTTTAACTCACAGGGCTCTGCAATGAATATGGGCGTTCCTCAAGGTTCAATATTGGGTCCCTTTATCTTTTAGTCTATAGAAATGATTTGCCATTTATATTAAAAAATGAACAAAGAATGGTGCTTTTTGCAGATGATACATTATTAATTTTTAAAATAGATCGACGTACAAATAATCTTGACGACGTAAACAGCTCCATTCTTCAAGCGCATAATTGGTTCAGCATTAATAATCTAGCACTTAATGAGAAAAAACCAAATGTATTAAATTTAGTTTATCAAACGTGCGTAGTAACGATTGTGATATATTGTTTTGAACGGTCAAAAGTTAGAATTTGCCGACGAGACGGTATTTTTAGGCATTACGTTAGACAATAGGCTACAATGGAGTCCGCATATAAAAGCGCTTTCGGGGAGATTGAGCTCAGCTGCTTTTGCAGTTAGACAGATTAGACAGCTCATGGACGTAGATACAGCCAGGCTTGTCTATTTTAGTTATTTCCATAGCATTATGTCGTACGGCATTTTGTTGTGGGGTCGAGCTGCAGAAATAGAATCAATATTTATTCTACAAAAGCGGGCTATTCGAGCAATACATAACTTACGCCGTTGCGAATCGCTGAGAGAATTGTTTAAAACGATAAATATTTTAACGGTGCCCTGTCAATATATATATATGAAAGTATAATGTATGTAAGGAAAAATAGGCAATTGTTTGAGAAAAGAAGCGATAGACACAATTTTAATACTAGAGGAAAAAATAAGTTAGCTATACCGCAATCCAGCCTGTTCAAGGTACAGAAATCCTTTATGGGGTTAACCTTGGACAGTATGTTCTTAATACTTAAGTATTAAATGCTATAATAAAATACCAAATAGCATATTAGATCTCGTGAAAGTAAATATGTATTAAGCGCGAATTATGTAATCAAGCTTACTACACACTGACAGATTATCTTGAAGATAAGAATGCTTGGCAGCATGTTGGTTCGGCTCCACTGGACAATACTCAAATGTAGTCAGTAGTTAGATTCCAATAGTAGGAAATTTAATACTTTCATTCTAATGTAGATAATCTAGTTTCCTAATGGCATCGAGCATTTCTTTCTTTATTGAAACAAAGAGTTTCCTTTTTCTTGTATAGAATCACTTTTTTTATGGATTGTCAGTATGCATATGTGAGCACCATGTTAGACTTTTCGATTTTTTTTTTATTATTTTAGTAAGTTTTGTAATTAGTATGATGCGTCAAACGTGTCTTTGGCATTGTTCTGTTCAGTATTAGAATATACATACAAGAGACATTGTAGAACATACTTTTTTTAAATGAGTAACCAATAGAGTTTCTTGCTCGTTTTTCTTCATTCGAATCTACATTTTGGAATGAGCACCTAGCTTCACCTAGCTTCACTGAGGGACTGACTGACAGGCTATTATTTATTTTGTATTTGTTGACGTTTCAAAAGTACCAAAATATGGTTTAATTGAAATAAATGCTTTGACTTTGACTTTGAGACAGAAAGAATTAAGTCTAAAGGCACAAAAAAGAGACTGTACAACTGGGTGAAGCCCAGTCGCCAAGCACCACGGTTTGACTAAAAACTAAGTGGGTCCTATGTGTGGGCTGTTATACTTGCTTCCAATAATAGGTATAGCAAAAGCGCCTAAACGCACGGAAATTTTTTCTAGATTCCACAAGGTCCGAAAACTCCGAGTATAAATAACTACTATGTCTGTCATCATAATACTAGGCAGGTTAAAGTTGACAAAGAATAATGCAAGGGATGCAACGGATTCATTTATTAATTACAAATGCAATGTTAATACACATAAATATATGAAAACAATGTACTCATAACAAAACAAGAAGGAAACCATATTATGTTATTACAAACTTATTGATATTATAAAACAATTTTAGTTAATCTTAAACATTATGTACAAACACGAAATTCAATATATCTCCTATATTTATTTACATCAGAAGCAACAAGGCCGTTTTAACTGTACAGTTAAATCAGAGCTTCATACAGCCTGCACACCTTACGAGTGTGTAGCGTGCATCAAAAATACATGAAAATAAAAGTACTACGGTACATAATTATAAGATAAACATACATGACTACATGTATAGTACCACTATAGATAACTGCACACATAAACATGACTACATAATATAAAACAAAATTGTTGTGTGTCCGTATTTAAGCTTTGTTCTTTAGAACCGCGCGCTTTATTTTGATTCAGTTTATAGCACAAGTTACTACCACGGGGTTTCACCCGCTACTCGGTTCCGTCTTAGCGTAATGTTTTACCACCTACAGCCTCCATCAATATATGGATTATCCAACACATATTATAACTATTGAATTCGAACCGTAGGTACCGGAGATTAGCGCGTTGGGCTAATCAAATGGTGGCCAAACGTCAACCTATCAAGTATAAAAAAACAAATATAGGTATCTAACGTTTTTTTTAGACGGGAGCAGTCATTCGATGATTTTCCAGCCTTAAAACAACCATATTTTATAACAGGGACATGCTGTTCAGAGCTTCAGAGGTTTGACAATTTGACAGATGCATTTTTGACACTTACATTAACACTAACTTTAACAGTAACCAGAGAAAAGTGAGCGGTTACAGTTAAAGTTATGACGTCATTTAACAATTTGTCAATTGGTGCAACGTCTTTTTGACATAACCGATACTTTAACAGAAATTTTGACGTTTATCGTTGTTACAAGTAAGTTGGTACAACCCAGCCTAATACTTAGGTGCATCATAAAAGTAACGATGATATTGGGTTCTCACTATAGAAGATGGATGCGATGCAATTATTTTGTAAATCTCTGATCGTTTCAGTTTTGACTCTCCATAACAATATTTGGGAATGCATTTACAAACTACTAAATAACTAGGAACAAACTCGCGATCACAAAGCATATATGCTAGAGTTTCGAGTATAAAAGTAACATCTTTATCGAACATGAAAAAAAAATTACTTAAAGCATCGGCAAATAGATCATGTATAGCCGAGCCATATTTATCCGTATCTTCTTTTAAATACTCGATGACCTTCTTACCCAAAGAGGGAGACAGTTTCAAATGCATATCTTTCCAAGTACTTTCACATGTTAAGGACGTACCTAAAGATGGATGCGTGCTCGTTCATGTATTTAACATAATCTGTTACTAGTGCCCAACTTGTGAGTAATTCGTAGTTTTCTACTAACGGTAATCTTTGTTGCATTTTATGTTTTATTTTCTGAAATAATTTGACAGGTATTTGTACTTGTGTGATTTTTCTTCGAAAGCTGAATACCAAATCTGTCAAAAATTCTTTAAAAATAATTTTCACGTCAAAATTATCTGCAAACACATCATACCAACGACGAAAAGCTTCGTCAAAACCGCTTTCTATTCTTCCGAATCTCTGGAGTTGATTTTCCTCACTTTTACCACATAGCAAGAAATATGCAAATGCATTTGAATACATCCTATTATGTGTACAAAACGTTGATTCTACTGGGGAAAGTAACTTATTGACGACAAAGTCGTCGTCTAGTAATTCCATTACAGGTGCTGCATACGCAATTACAGTATTTAAATATTGCACGCAATTATGACTTTCAGGCAAAGATTTTAAAATTTCATAACTCTTCATATAATATTCGCCACGTACATTGATCGGAACGCTCTTGACATTGCTTAATATTTTATACAAGCTGGTACTTTCTTGTGAGTTTAAGTCTTGCATGAATTTTCTTAATAATCCCCACAGTTCATTTTCAATGTTTTGGTTTTTAGAACTTAATAACTGACTGAAGGTGTGTTCAAAAATAACGGCTCTGATGGTAGCATTTTTCGAAGATTTCCAAATATCTGCAAATACAGGCTTTATTTCGTTAGCATCAAATTTAGTATGTGCTAGGTGAAGTCCGAATTTTTTTACAGAGACTGATGCATCCAACAGTTTAGGTAAATATTTACGACTCTCAACTAGACTGATATTGGACAAGATAGCACTCAGTGACGGTACTGCATACTGTAAGTAATCACCTTTGGCATACCATAACACCGTATCTAAAGGAACAAGTGGCCTAGCTACGTGAAGATGTTTAGCAATATTTTTCTGTATGCTAATGTCGGCTTGATTAATGTCACTCCATTTTATTTTAGTTTCAGATGGAACATATTTCTTTGCTAGCTGTACGACTTGATCGATAGCGGATAGCAAGAAAATACCGTTAATTACTGCTTTTTGTCCAGTAGGTCCATTTAGGCTTTGCATGTAAGCTTCAATCCAGTGGCGGGCGAGTGAGTCTTGCCAGTAGACGCGTAGCTTCGCGAGCACACGCCGCAGTGAGACCGTGTCGTTAGTTCGCAACGTGTGTATTTGTTTGTCGTGACGCGTCAGCAGCTGTGGCTTGTGCTTCAGAGCGTTCAGGCACGTTTCCTCGCACAGAGAGAGCGACAGCGACTCCTCAAACATGTACTTGCGCCATGATTTGTTCACATTGTATAAGCATGACATGTCTGTGGTCCACTTGTTCTCTTCTTTAGCCATAATTAGTTCTTTGATTTTTTCGATCACGATTGGGAATTCAGTGAGTGTTTTGTCCCAATCTTTTAATAAAATAAACATATTCTGTAATGTGTTTACAGTTTCTTCGAAATCGGATTCCTTTTCATATGGTGTGTGCTTTACTTTTTCTAGTAAAGAATCGAAAACATACGTAAATAACTTACGTTTTTGTTCTTCATTCAAAGTTTTAACAACATTTTTAAATGAATTAAACGTGTATTTTTCTTCTATGATTTCTGGCACAGGTTCATCGTTCAAAACTTTACGCATAATTATAGATTCTAGGCACAGTTGTACATCGTTCTTTGTTTCAGTGTATACACCCATACTGTGAAATATTTGATTCAAAATCTTCCAAGTTGCCTCATCGAACCCGTGAGTAGAAACGTTTGTAAGTAATTTGTTTATAAATTTTATTTTGAATTGAAAAGGAACATTCATGTGATTTTCAAATACATATGTGAGCAAAGTTTTAACACTAGAAAGACGGAAAAAATTATCTACCTACAAAGACGGCGGGCGGTCAAATGACTGCTCCAAGATTTTTGATATTTTTTTATGTTTAAGTGCTAGAAATGGTACCTATAGTATTAAACATGGTATAATATTCTGTTAATTAAGTAATATGTATAGAATTTCTAATTTTATAATTTTGTTTACATTACAAAAGCCGCAAAGTGGCTTTTTGCAATTGTCGCATTCTTTATGGGTTTTGTATTTGCATTTGTGTATATAATATTTTGGAATTTAATGGATTTTGTGCAGAAGATTAAGAAGTAAAAGATCTAGACTTTTCAGGCAAGGATTCAGTTTCAGAGAGAATTCTTCAATTTATACTTTGCTTCTAAGTTCGGCCCCTGAACTTAGTATAAATAGCCTTTGTTTCATGTAATATTCTACATTTTCCTATACCAAATGAAGGAATTATATCTAAAAAGGAAAATTATCTAAATTATGTTATATCTTTGCTAGGTGTCAAATATTGAAAAAAAAATGTATTTCACCTTTGAGATGCTCGTAACATTTTGACCAGTATTTTCAAAAAGTTTCACAATACGCATCTGTATCAACGGATTCATCGATATTTGACCACATAAAGTAGATGCCATTTGAGGTGTGTACAAGATACAGTCGATAGTTGTGGAAAGACCTTGATGCTCAGGATCTTCCAAACTCCTTTCACAGCCTTTATCACTACCACAGCAACGACTACAACTACGAAAACCCGACCTGTCAACGTCTGATAAATTTGCTCGAAGTATCTGGTCTTTCAGGTCACTTCTGTCCGTAGAGGAATTCGAACTGACAAGTAGTACCACATAATCGTCGGTCGCTATCACGTTTTGTATTTTTAGAGTCAAAATCAGACTCATCTTTACAAATATTTTGGAAGTAACAAACATTTTTTCATTTTCAAGACTCCTACACGTTGCGACCACAAACTACTTTCAATAATTTCGTAAAAGTTCACAGACACTTGAAATGATACGGTCTCATTTGATAAACAAACTATAAACAATGAATTAGTGTATATAATTTGTATTCTACCCTCTCATATTACACTTATAAACACTCATTAGTTGTCAGCAGTCAAATGACTGCCGCCGTCTTTGTCGGTAGATCAAGATTTTGAATAATAAATAAAAGAGTTGTGATTTATTTTCGTACATAGTTGCATTTAACTAGTAAAATAAATAAAAGTCACAAAGTATCAGTTTAAAAACTCAAATAGATTTCAAGTCATTCAACATTTAAAATCAAATTGCGGTCAAATGACTGCTCCCGTCTTTCTAGTGTTAATATGTTCCGCATTAAGTTTTGCACTATTAACCAAAACTGAGAGCATGGCACATCGTTCAGACGGCGACGTCTGTTGTTGTATAAGATTTTTAATTTTGGTAAATGCCATTTCGAATGGAAAGAACTCATACCATTCATATGAATGTATAACAGGACCAAGTCCAAACCATTCAAAATCATCATCTTCTTCATTAAATAGAGGCTTAGTTTTGTCGATGAATGATGTCTTTACGAACTCAACTCTTTCTGTCTCTTCCATGTTCTGTATGAACAATGGTAATGTTTTGAAATTTTCATATTGACTCATGGCACTTGCATTTTGATACAGAAATTTTTTTATATCTCTATTATATTTTAAATGTTTTACAAGCACATTAGTGTCAAGCGATTGATGGTATTTTTGAATGTTATCGAAAATCCTATGACAGTATTGTTTTAAAAGAAATTGTGTTCTCTTTTTCCCCATTCTAGGAATACTTGAAATTCTATAGTCTTCTATTATGTTTAATACACTTTCAGTTTGAGATTTCAACATAAATAAAACTGATTGTCCTCGTTGGTGTGGATATAATTCAACACGCATAATGTATGAAAGGAAACCAGCAGATCGTTTGCACAAACGTTTGAAAAGCCACACTGGTATGAGGCGTTCGTTCTGGATGATATTTTCAATAAAAGGTATGGAACAGTTCTGAAGCCATTTACAAGCGCAGTATGTTTCTTTAAAGTGTTCATAAAAGGCTTCAACTCGAGTTTCATCTTTCAGATTGAGTCTGATATGAAGCATGAGTTTGTTAAATGCTTTGGTGGTCATGTAAGGTTTTAGTTGTGTGTGTAGGTACTCAGGGTTGATGATGTTTGCGTACTGCGGGTCGGTGATTAGCCACGTGGACTTTTTAATAGCTGTCGCCGCATACAGCATGTCTTTGGATTTCATTACTTCGATGACGTAGTTTACATTTCTGGTTTTACACGCGATTTCTATTCTCAGAAGGTTGTCTATATCGCTGTCTGTGTCACTAGTCGGCGTTAGTTCATAATGTTTGCTAGCGACTGCGTCTGCGACAAGTTTGTTGAAGTCTCGACGCTTCTCGCCGAGTGTGTCCCCTTCTAGTGTTAATAGCGGCATTGCAGCGTACTGTAAACGTAAAATTAAGTAATGTCAAGGGTTCGGTTTATTATTCAAACTGACTGCCGTGCGTGCCGTTAAGTTATTGACTGCTGAATACGAGTTCGTTTTGCGTTTACGCCGGCTACAATGAACCAACCAGAGCGCCGGACGCGGTCTCGTTTTGATTACTTCAATAGTAAAACAAACTCGTACTAAGGCCTCTCTCTGATGGATTAATGTTATGAAGTAAAACGGGCTAACTGTAAAGTAGCTGTTAGTTTAGTCTATCCGAAAGTGCTAAAGAAAGGGCATTGCTAGCGGGCAAAAACCCCTTTAATAAGAAACCATTTCCTAATGGTCGTCCTAGTTGCATTTTGCTTCCTCAATATCCATTATCATCAAGTCATAGCAACAGAAGAGGGTTTATTAAGAGACTTCAAAAAAGAAGGTTCTCATTTTGACTTCTCTGTGTGTATGTATGGTTGTGGGCAATTATCTTGCGATTAGCTGAACAGCTGAACCGATTTTAATGTGGTTGTCAGAATCTTAGTTTATAAAAGAATTATAATAATATCCATGCCTTTCTTTAGGGCCAATTCGTACAAATGCAAAATCGAAGGGCATCGTAGCGATCTATCCATCCCAACCGTGTTCATTGGAGCACATTGCATTGCATTCGCGCACATTCACCCGCATCTTTTCATTTTCGTGGTGAAATGTTTCGTTGTAATTTGATTTTGACTTCGACGCGCTACGAACTGGCCCTTAGTATAAATAAAATGTCCTTGAATGGGTAATAGTTGTAATAACGCATAAACAGTTACAGCTTAAGTTCTAAAAAAATCGCTATAATAGATTGATAAATTAATGTCTCCAAAACTAAATATGTCCAGTTTATTAAGCAATAATGGCAATTAGATTATATAATAAAATTCCTCAATCTATTAGATAACTACCTTTGTGTCAATTTTTGTAGCATTAAGACTTTATTGACCATGGAATTGTTGAAAGAAATAAAGAATATGGCAATATGACATATAATTTCACAGACATAAAGACGCCTTGACTTGTATTTGAAATTTTTAATTTGACATTTTGACATCTGTATCTTGACATTATTGAATAATCAAATAAATTAAATTGCATTAAATTAAATTTCGCATGCCTGGAAAAGGTAGAATACATTGTACTGTAAAAAATTAGACTAAGATCCATTGTATCACATGTTCCTGCGAATAAATTGCTATAATTATATTTCTATAAATTAATTACACAGGTCTTACATATCATATTCATACTACTTAAATATTATTATCATATCAGATAAAAACTTACAATCTTAGTCTACAGGATATTCCCAGAAGTCGTTATAAAAATGTACTTGTACCACTGGCGATGGATTCATTTTAACTTTTTGAAGTATTTCTGTTTGTAAATGTTCTGTCTCTTCGTTCGGATCTTTTGGCATAATATTTGAGACAACTAGATATGCAGGAACAAATTCATCGTCGTTTAACACGTGACTCAAAATTTCTAGTTTCATTTTATCATCACGTATGCGTAACATTGAAAGGGCTTTTTCAAAAGCGGTCGCGAAACGGTGATGTACTATTGGGCCGTATTCATCACAGTCTTCCTTCAAATGTCGAGTTATTGCTACACCGAATGAAGGAAATAGTTTCATATCATTGTATTGGCAATCATTTTCTGTTTCAATTAATTCACTTAACAATTTAATGTACGTCGTTACAAGCTTCCAGCTCGTAAATATTATATAGTTTTCAGAAACAGACAGATCATTTTCGATTTTAGTAAGCAGTTTCGCAAAAACTTTTGCAGGTATAGGCAATGCTAAATGCTTTTTTTCAAAGTATTCAATGAAGTAATTAGCCAAATTTGTTAAAAATTGTTCAAAACCTATTTTATAGCGCTCGCGTTCGTCTTCGATACTATCCCAATTCTGAAAATATTCGTCTATTACAGGTATAATCCTTCTAAATCTCTGAACTTGGTTTTCCTCATCACGACCACATAATATGAAACACGCAAGGGATTTTACATACTCGTATTCATGCAATGACTCAAACTTGGTTTCTGCGGGAGACAATAATTTATTGATGATAAAGTCCTCGTTTAGCAACTCCATTGCTATATGTGCATATGAAAGTAAATTATTCACATATTTTTTACAGTCAGCGCTTTCGGGCAATGAAGTTAAATACTCGTAACTCTTGATATAATAGTCTCCTCGTATACCCATTGGTACTC